TAGGTCATATAGGTATCCTAGCTCAAAAGTATGACCTATAGAATTTTGGAACAAAATTCTATAGGTCATACTTTTTAGCTATCGTCATTTTTACTCTCATCTTGTGCTATCTCCATGTTTTTGCAAACTGAGAAAATCGATGGCAAAGTTTGAATTTGTTCGCAGCTAAATTGAAAAAATATTTTGAGAATTTAGGTATTTCCTAAGATTTAAAAATGTTTTATTATTAATTTTTAGATAAAAAAAACTTTTTAAAATTACGCTAACGCCCTTTTTTTCGCACCCTCTTTTGGAGATAAAACAAAATAACTTTGGTTTTTAGTAAAATTCAAAAATATTATGTTGTTACATCATATATATTAAACATATTAAGTACATTTTTCAACAACGACATGTTAGAAATTGATGAAATTTTGTTCTACCTGCTAATTATTCTTGCGCAGTACCATACACTCCTAATTTATGGGCATAAGCCCCTAAATTAGGGGCATGAGCCCCTAATTTAACGGGATCCTTTTCAAAATATAAGACGCTTTTTGTATTACCTAAAAAATTAAGTTTTTTTAAATAAAATGAGGCCCTAATTAGGAGAACTTTTAGAAGAGCCTCTAACGACACTGTTCTTACGACTTACATTTACTTTAATTACCTGTAGGCGCCGGCCCTGGACAAGACTAAGACGTCTAATTTAAAACGGAAAATTTGGCTGCGTAATAATAATATAAACGTATTAATATAATATAAACGTATAAAATAAATTATGAAAGGTATATAGGAAAGAGTTATGTTAAAAAAAATGTAATAATAAAAGAAATAACATTATGTAACTATCTGATAATTCACAACAATTCAACTAATCTAATCACAAACTCCATGCAAGATGAACTTGATTTTATTTTTCTTATGCCTGTGTATCCATTAATAGAGTTTAACTTTTTATTAAAAGTTATTGCAAATATTTACAAATAAAAAATTGTTACTCAAGTTAACGTCAGGAAGGGCATCAGGTTGTGAAACATTGCTTTAACTCTTTCATAGTGGCCTTTATGTCACTATGGAAAACCATCCAAACCAAACAAGTGGGGGAAAATGAATATAAAAGTACAAAAAAACAAACAAAAAAAACACAAGCTAAACAAAAATTTTTATCAAGATTTCAAAATAATATTATTTCAATGTGTTTTATATTTATATTTATACTAAATAAATATTTTATTTAAATATGTTATTTATATGTATATTATTTATATTATTATATATATATAAATATGTTATTTATATTTATACTAAACATATAACAACCCTAAAAATATTTTGACTTTATTAATGTTTTGTAAATGTTCAATTTATTATTGTTTTATAAAATGCAATATCAACAGCAGGCATGTATGAATACATGGAAATGATATCATTGGCTTTTGCAACAGATATAGACTGATAAGAAGCACGAAAGCAAGCTGCCATTGGTATATTGGTATTTAATGGTTTTGCAACAATGGTTGATGCTGCTTTCTTGACAGACTTATTTATACGAGCTTGTGAATAATTATCTGAAAACGAGGTTTTAAAAAAACATGGTATGGCAGTCCGTTTCGATAAACAAGATTTTTAACCTTTGAATAAGGCACTAACTTATAACTTGACAAACCAGCGACAACTGAAAAATTCTTTACATCTCCTAATTGCATTTGGTAAACACAGAAAGGTTTTTTACGGTTTACATTTTTAATAACTCTTTCTAGCCCAAGTGGACTAAATATTTCTGCAGCAGAAAGGGATTTTTCAATCTGACTATGAATGTTGTCACATTCTTGAATGCTGGAATGACCTGGCTCGCAGAACTTCTGTTCAATTACTTTTATTTGTGGGTATCGTATTATAAATTCACACAAAGCTGCTGACATGAAACTATTGCGGTTTTGTGGTACACATGAATCGAACCAAAGTATGAACTTATTTATGTCAAGGTCAGCCATGATTTTCAAAAGCAAACATGTTACAGCAAAGGCTAGATCATTTCCTCCACGACCAGTCATGGCTTCGTGCCAAAGGATGCAATAACCCTTCCTGTTAAGCGAGCAATGACCAGTCAAGTTATAATTTGAAAGTTTATGTTTGTAATAAAAGTTTCCCACATTAGCTCTAGGCAAATTTAAAACATTTTCAAGGTCAATACAAACAATTGCAGTTTTAGAATCAACATTTTGGCGATCATTTTCACATTCAGTTTTGGTATCATTCCTTGATTTTATGTGCTTATTATAACTATCTGTTTGTTCATTGCTTGCATTAACAATGTTGCGATACTCATAGCATGTGTCACATAAATATTTCTTCGGTTTTTGAAATTCTATATTGAACTCGCGATTAAAGATATAACGATACATATGTTCTTTTGCTGGAGGAGAGACATTTTCATCACAATATATTTTATAAAGATCATACATTCTACCTATATTTAGTGATCCTTCCATGTATTCTTTATGTGTCTTTTTCCTGCTATAATGAGCATCAATTCTTGGGAAAAGGTTAATATGGTCTCGTACAACTTGTTTAGACTCTTCTAGTAACCTTTTTTTAACATGTTTCCCTGATTTTGATTGCAATGGTGTTCCAGTAGTTAAAGATTTATTAAACTTATGAAAGTAAAACACTCTATGGCTGCTAATATTCAATGTTGAAAGATAATATGATTTACAAACTCTATATTGTGTATTAGAAACAAAAAAGCTATAATAATAAGATGTTTTTCTTCTTGAATTGTCACCAGCAGCTGTCCGACAGCGTTTTTTCTCCAGATTTTCAGTAGTTTTAGAATAGAAATGTTTTTTTCCGTCATCATCTAAGGTCCAAAAGTTATCAAATATTATTTGACGCTCAATCTCAGATATATTGGTAGAACATTTAAATTTACAATTTCTGCAACTTTTTAGTGCAACAATAGATCTTTTTGGCATTTGTTCTCCTTTCGTATTTTTATAAGCTTTACCCGACTGACGTTAGATTTTTCTTACACTTTGTTTCCAACTACTCCTATCAGCTTTACGTTTCCTAGAAACCCCATCATGGGGCGACCGACGAGAAGGTGTAATGCCAAGCAGCTCTAACGATTAAAATATTAATTTTTTATTATCCAGGATGTATAAATAATAACTTTTAAATTTAATCTAAAATGGCACAAGCGAAAGTCGAATTCTACTTTTCCAAAATTATAATACAAATTAAGTTAAAAAAACTACCTTCGTTTTGATTTAGGGCAGGTTCCATTTCTTGGTCAATATTTGCAGTTGCCATTTTGAAAACAACAAAACTGATAAAATTATTCCGAACAACTTTGTAATTGTAATATGATTGGTTGATTGGAGATAGAACAAGATAATATTTTCAAGTTTGCTCATTAAGGAGATAAAACAATGCAATATTGCATGCAATACCGTGTTAAAATTTTCATTTTTTTTCAATATAATTAAAGTAGAACAACACAATGCTAAAATATTCAAAAATAATAAAATCTCAATTTTTTCAAAAATTGGAGATAGCACAAGATAATTCTAACGTCGCGAAATAAAGAAATGAAGAAGCGATAAGACCGCCTTAAAGCGATAAGACCGCCTTGAAGCGATAAGACCGCCTTAAACAATTTTTCACTTCATACAGTATTGATGACAGTGATGATGTTACAGAAAACGTATCTGAAAGTCAGCAGACAGCCGAAAAGGCTCCTTAAATCGTCGAACAACTACAAACTTAGTCCCAAAGACTCACCAAGACAGAAAAAAATATCCATTGTGAGACAAATAATCCAAGTCCTAATGATTAGGCTGGTGAAGAATTCATACAAATTAGAACCTGCGTTAAAAATAATCAAACAAACTTTGATTCGATGTGAGCAAAATTTTTCAATTTCAAGCAACCATCATAGTAAAAAACATGAGAGAATGACAGCTTAAGACAAAAACATGAGAGAATGACAGCCGCAACTTGGAATGACTTAAATGACTTGGAAAGACTTAAGACAACTGCAACTTAGAATGACTTAAGTCATTTGAAAGGCTTTTTCAAGAATCAACATTAATTTGATAAATGTTGAAAACTTATAGTTAATAAAAACAATAAAAATTATGATTCACAAATTTTTTGCATTATTGTATCATCACAAGGTTAAGGTAACACGGTAAGCCTTGAGAAGCGTGAATATTTATTTTTATTATTTTTATGACTTCAAGTGCAAAAATGGCTCCTGACAGTCTTGGATTGGAACTAAGAAAGAAAACTATTGGCGATTACGTAAGTAGAATGCCACAAAAAAGTATTTGTGATAAATATCGCGAGAAAAAACGGACCATATCAAGACTATGTTCCAAATATCGGGGAAATTGGCAGCTGATGACAAAGGTCGAAGACCGCGTTCTACCACTTCTAGAGAGGATTCTATGATCGTCAGATCCGTCAGGAAGGATTCCTGGATATCATCAGTCGAGATAAAAAAGCAATTAGAGCTGCCTGTATCGGACCAAATAATCAGACGACGTGCTGTTGAAGCCGGATTGTTTTCTCGACGCAAAATAGAATTGGTTGTGGTAAGATGTGATTCTTATTGCTGCTAAAATGTCTTTGATATCTTTGCTATAGAAGATGGCATAATATCTGAAATGGTTTAGTTTAAACTTTGTTTTTTCTGGTTTTATCTTGTAGATAAGACCTGTTTTATAAACAAACTAAAGTATAAGAAAAAAAGAAACATATTTTACTAAAGTCAATGTTATTTAAAAAAAAAAAAATCATAAGTTTGCACAAAATTTAGATCTATAAGAAATCTAGTGATTCAGCTGAAGCGGTATTTAACTCTTATAGTATTTTTATTTAGAATATTATTAATTTTTAAAATCTATTTTAAAGTTTATTAAATTGTTATAAACCATTTGGCATACACTTTAAATTAATTGTTAACATTTAATATTTTTTATTAAATTCTCAGACTTTTAGGCCGGCAGTGTATGTAGTATTTGATGGGATATTTTTTCTTCAAAAATTTTTCTATATTCTACATGTAGTATTTACAACACAGTTTCACTTTACTATTATACCTATACAACTGAAGGTTTCTTAGTAACCAAAAAGTTTTTTTTTTTTTTTTTTGTGAATAACAAGTTTATTTTAACTTTGACTTTTTTTCATTTGTTTTTGAAAAGCAGACTTTGAAAATATTTTTTCTTGGATCTTTTTTAATCGCGATTCTATTTTTTTTAAAGTGTTGCGCTTTCCATATTTTTGAATTCCTATAGAGGTTCGTTTTGCTTTTGTAAAATGATCTCCATGCTCTTTAATTTCGTTGGGAGCTAAAGAAGTTTCTTTGACAACATTTCGCATTTTTTTAAAAATATCCTCTGCTTGATCAAATGATTTGAATGTTGTTTCTCCGTTAAATCCGCCCCCAACTATTGTATCAAACGGATCGTACTTAACTATTCTCCTTTTTCCATATTGACCAATTTGAATATTTTGATTTGAATATGGACGATTAAAGCTATTAAACTCATGTGGATATACATTTGGATTGTTTTCGTAAAACTCACCCCCTCCGTCTTTTTCACTGTTTCCAAGTAAACCATGACCTAAAAAATATCAATAAACACTCCTCAGTCAATTTTTTTTTGACAACTTCCATTTTAATTGAAAAAAAAGTTATTAACTTTACTGAATTCAAAAATGTACGCAAAACCGTCAATGGAAAAATCAAAAAGTTATGAAATTTAAGATTTTATTTTAAGGATTCGAACTTATTATATGTATATATATATATATATATATATATATATATATATATATATATATATATATATATATATATATATATATATATATATATATATATATATATATATATATATATATGTATATATATATATATATATATATATATATATATATATATATATATATATATATATATATATATATATATATATATATATATATATATATATTATATTATATTTTATTATATTTTAGCAATTTAGTTTTGACATTCTAGAAAAAGCTAGAACGTTAAAAATTATACGAGGGAAAGGCATAACTTGTTGCTACGCTACTGTTGCTATACTAATACAATTATTTTTAGTAATTAACATTAGTTGTAGAATATAAACTGTTATTACGACGAGTTTTAAACCAATAAAAACTAAATAAGTATTACTTGTTTTTACACCGTATTCTTTTGGCTCATGAAGCGCACCTATGTTAGACTTATCAAAACTTTGACGGTGACTTCTCACACCATGAGTTAAAGCGGCTTTAGGGTCAGTTAGCTGTTTCACGATTTCAACTTCATTTATGTCACCTTTATAATATTAATAGAAATAATAAAGTATTATGTCAATAAAAAAATTCTTTCATCAGTAGCAACTGTTATTTTATCAGTTTAGTACACGATTTTTAATGAGAAAAAAAATTACACATTTAGTTCTATAAACTTTACTTGAGAACATGCAAAAAATTTTTAGTTTACAAATATGTTGTATAATAAATTATTCGTCCAAAACACAAAATATGTCTTATACCTTGATGAGTTCTATCATTGATGATTACCTCTTCATCATCTTTTCCAAACTTTTCAATACCATCATGTGGGTGTTCAATAGCTATAAAATTATATAAAATAAGTTTAAGTGTTCACTTTCAAAATTCAAACATGTTGGTAGTCTATAGCTTTAAAATTAAACAAGAATACAATCACGTGGGTGTTCAATAATTTAATTTATAAATATTTTATCATGCGGTAATTACTTTAAAAAAAAAGAAGCAAATAACTCATATTACAGTCAATATCTTTAAAACTATTACAAATATTGTATGTATGTATATGTATGTATGTATGTATGTATGTATGTATATATATATATATATATATATAAATATATATATATATATATATATATATATATATATATATATATATATATATATATATATATATATATAAACACATACATATATTTTGCAAAATCTTTTATGAAGACTAGAAATCAAAAAAAAAAAAATTTCAGAACTCTAAGAGTTGGCCTTAAAAATCCAGAAGGGTAAAACCCTGAAAGTCCAGAAGGCAAAGCCTAAGTAAAAAAGGTACTCTGAAATCCCAAGAATTTATTGTTATTTATTTCGGTTTTAATAAAATTGTCATTAGATAATTTTCATAATAACCAAGTTGAAATTAAAGTTTATTAATGATAATAGGTAATAACCTTTATAGTGACTCTCCTTTTTATGAGAATGATTTTCTTCCTCATCTGGTGAATCATATTCATCATCATAATTACGTATTTCACCTTTTATCTAAAACAAATAAATCAATTTAAGTGTTATTTACAAATACTTTCACAAATTTTAAAACAACCTTTTACACAAATTTTAAAACAAGTCAGTTCATTAGGCTCTATAATTATACTATTAGTAACAAGTAATCCATAGCAATCCAAAAAGTGCTTGATTTAAAATACACAGAAATTAAAACATATTTTAAATACAATTTCAATTATTAGTTGGTTTAAATTAGAGTTTGATTTTTAGATGTTAAACACTAGATCTTACTGACTTCAAAAATCTTGTGTGAATGCAACTTTTTACCTTAGCAACTAACAACAATAACAACAACGACAATATATTTTTTTTCCTTTTCAAAATTTACATCTAATCATATAATAATAACAACAATAATAATATCATCTATAGTAGTAAGAAAATCCCAATCCACAGACATTTTTCATTTTTAACCAAATTTTCAACCATAAATTAATATGAATATTGAGGTTAACATTGAACCATGTTGTGTATAATTTATTTAGATAAGAAATAATTTTTTTATTTTAAAAAATTGATTTTTTTAAAATAAGTGTTAAATTTTATTTCTTGTTATGAAATATTACGAAAAATTCTTAAAATGACGTGACTTTTCTTAATAATAAATTTGATCTGGTGTTTTTAACTTTTCTTCTTCTAATCTTTCCTTCTCTAACTTTTCCCATTGTAATTTATTTTTATTTTTAAAATAACGAGCTAAACTTATTCTTCTTTTATAACCCATAAATTTATTAACTTCATCTTTACTTGTACATTCCATTTTTTTAATTTATGTAAAGAATTTAAATTTTTCAATTTTTTCTTCTTGCTTCTTATTTATACCCTAATTCATGTAAATATTTAATTACTTCAAGGTGACCATTTTCTGCAGCATAAATAATTGACCAATCTGTTACTTTATACCCTTTTGATTGTAAATATTTAATTACTTCAAGGTGACCATTTTCTGCAGCTTTATCTATTGCATCATTTGTACTTTTATACCCTAATTCATGTAAATATTTTAATATTTCAAGGTGACCATTTTTAGCAACACAATCAATTGTCCAATCATAACATTCATACCCTAATTCATGTAAATATTTTAATATTTCAAAGTGGTTATTTATAGCAGCATAACTAATTGCTAATTTATCAACTTTATATCCAATTTCAAGTAAATATTTTACTACTTCAAAGTGACCGTTTATAGCAGCAGAACTAATTGCACATTTTTCATATTTATACTTAAATTTATATAATTGTTGCTCAAATTCAAAGTCATAATTTTCAGTAGCATAATTAATTGCTAATTCTTCATAATAATACTTTAATTTATGCAAATATTTTACTCGTTCAAGGTTACCATTTTCTATAGCGCGAATAATTGCTTTTAATATTTTAATAACATTATTTTTATTTTTTTTTTTTTTCTTCGTCTTCCATTCTTTTATATATACAAGAAAATTATTTAACTCATTTTTCAATTTTTTTATTTTTTTACAAAAAAATAAAAAATATTTAATTCTGTAGTCTAATTATCAAATACAAATTCATCTTCATCATCTTCATTATCATATTCAGTAGTTTCTGTAATTTCAGTAGTTACTGTAGTAACTTCTTCAACTTCATCATCTTCTTCATCTTCATTATCTTCATTATCTTCATCATCTTCATCATCTTCTTCATCTTCATTATCTTCTTCATCTTCATTATCTTCATTATCTTCATTATCTTCATCATCTTCTTCAGTCATTTCAATATCATTATTGTATTCAGTAGTTTCTGTAATTTCAGTAACTTCAGTAGTAGTAACTGTAGTAACTTCAGAATCTTCAGTCATTTCAATATCATGAATATCAATTATATTTAATTTTTCTTCAACTAATCTTAATCTTTCATTTATTGATCTTAAAAATAAATTTTGCATTTCGTTTTCCATTCTTTTTATATATAAAAGAAAAATTATTTAACTCATTTTAAATTTTTTGATTTAAAGTATTTTTTACAAATAATAAAAGAAAAATGTATGATGATGAAATTAATGAAATATCTGAATTTCAAAAAGAATTTAAACTTTTTGAAGAAATATTAAAATTTGAATTTGAAGAATCAGATTCTGAAGATGACACTTATTATACATCTGATGAAGCTACTTATTATACATCAGATGATGAAGAAGTTAAAGAAAAACCTATAGTTCCAATTCCTTTAAAAACAGTTCAAATCATGGAACTGCATAAAGATAAGCTGAAATGGATTAATTATGTTCCAACTTATAATGTTATTAATGATGATTTTCCTGCTCTTGATGATACTTCTTTTAAAAAACATTACAAAAACAGAAAATTTAGTTTTGAAAAACCATTTAATGTAGATATTAATTTTACTGAAGATGGAAAACCTTCAACAATACATTTTGTAGAGAAACTACCCATTTTATGTAAAAATATTTTAAAAGATAATTATTGTCATTTTGAACATAGATGTAAATACAATCATGATATTCCTTATTGTAATACTGTAAAGGAAAGACTCATATGCACTAAATCTTCATGTCAATATAGACATTTATCTCTATGTTCTGAATACCCAAAATGTAAGAATAAAAAGTGTAGATTGTTTCATCCCAAAAAGTCAGAATTATTAAAATTAAGAAAAGCTAAAACTAAATTATGCAAATATATTCTTGATAAAAAAGAATGTAAAAATATAAATTGCAAATATGCTCATTATTTAAAAGAAATTGAAGAAAATGTAGAAATTTGTCATTATACTCCATGTAAATTAGTAGAGAGTAAATTAAAGAAAAATAAAAAAGGAGAAAAAACATTAATATATAAAAATAATGATAATAAAAAGTGTAATTTTTTACATCAAGGTGAAAGCATTTTAAATTATATTGCAAGAACTTTAAAAACAAAATAGATATGAGGATTACAGAGTGATTTAAAAAAAATCTTTACATTTATAAAATGTATAATAGTAGAATGTTTTTATATTATGAAAAGAATGAACAATATAGAATAAATTTTTATATTAATTCAGATTTAGAACATAGAGCAATAAATGATAGACATATTAAAGTATTCGCACAAGAAGATTTTACAGTAAAATCAAATTCATATAATAACATTTCTTTAATGTGTGGTGTTGAAATAGATGAAGGACATATAGTTATTTCAATTGCAGAAAATTATAAACCAGAACTAAATTTACTAAATTCTATTGTAACAGAGTCTACTGACGATATTAAAATAACTGTATATAATAACGATAAAAAAGATATAAACATTAAAAAAGGAGATTTGTTATGTTGTATATCAACTTATAATGGTATTTTAAATGTAAATTATATATCACATAGAGATGCTTTAGAACATGCAAAAGAAGAACAAATGAGACAACAAAATGACTCAGAAACTAAACAGAAAAGTGATAAAGAATCTGTAAAATCTTTATTATCAAGTATAGAAGAAGTAATTAAAGATAAATCTGATGAAGATATATTTAATTTTGGTAAAAAGTGATTTAGCGAAGCATTGATAACAAAAGTGATTTAAAACAAATTTTTCTTTATAGAAAAAAGAAAATGCTATGTAATAATGGATATAATAATGAATATAATGAATGTAAGCAGCTTTATCCAGATCTTAACCAGTTTTCAGAAAATCCATCTGCACCACCAATTTCAGATCATAACTTTAGATTACAAAAGATTAGTGAAATTCAAGATAAAATAGAATGTGAAAGGAAAAGAAGAGAGATTTTAAGTAAAAAATATCACAGAGCTGTAAGAATCATTTCAGCAGTTGATAATACATTACTAGCAAGCACTATGACATTAGGAGCTGTTGGTATTGGTTTTTTAACAACAATAGTTGGTACACCAGTAGCTATTGCATGTGAAGGTGTAGCATTAGGTATGGGTGTATTATCACTAATAGGATCACAAGTTAATAAAAAATTTACAATAAAAGCAGAAAAGCATGAAAAGATTAAAGTACTAGCTGATGCAAAACTAAATACAATAAGTAGTCTTATTTCTAAAGCTATATCAGATCAATATATTGATGATGCAGAATTTAATATGATACTTTCAGAACTTGAAAAGTTTCAATCTATGACTGAACAAATTAGAACAAAATCTAAGAATGATATAGATGAACAGACTAAAGAGTCACTCATTAATCAAGGTAAAGAGAAAGCAATGAAAGAAACTATGGAATTGCTAAATATAAGATTTAACAAAAATCAGAATATAGGAGTGATGAATAATACTCTTAATAATTAAAAAAACATATATTTTGTATTACTTAAACATATATTATGTATTAAAAAACATAATATATGTTGATTTAAAAAATTATTGTATATATAAAAATGTATGCAAAAGCTACAGATATTGATGCAAGATTAAAAATAGCAAAAGAACTTGAGGGTTTAAAGAAAAGTGTATATCAAGATTCTATTAATGAAAAGTTAGGATATGATGCTTTACAGACAAACTTGGAAAAAATGTACAAACCAATAATAGATAGTCAATCTGGAATAAAAGAAGGTATATCTAAATTAGAAAATAAAGCTAATCAAATAGCAAATACTTTTTCAAATTATCCTGCTTTACTAGATTCTGAAACTAAAGCAATCATGCCACCTGAAGTTGTAGATAACATGAGATTAGGACCTATCGCAACAGAATATTTAAAGTTATATACAACTAAAAATAGTAAAAAAGTATCAGATGACATATTTGGTATACATTACAATGAAGGTAATGAAAAATTTTACATTGGTAAAAAACCAATAATTATTGAAGGTAATGATATAATTATTGAAGGTAAAAAATACATTGGTACAACAGGTCTTTGGGAGATTATAGTAAAATCTCATCCTGTTAAATATACTAACGATGATCGTAATAAGTATAAAGAAATTTTAGATCAAACAGATGCAATTCGCTCTGAGTTAAATTTAGCAAAACCAAGATCATCTAG